GTTGAAATATGAATAATAAGATAAAGTAGGTCTGTGCTGTTCCCTCTGTCATCCTGTGTGGCTTTCCCTTGGTTCTGATGACTTCTAGAATCAGCTGTGACATGTGTGGAGACAATTTCTGACCCAGAGAAAAGCCATTATCACCCAATTTTATACTGCTTCCCTCCACAGTACCAATATTGTTCCTTCCCTCAAAAAAAAAAAAAAACCCGGGTGAAATGAGTATTTAGACAAGCAAATCTACCTGATAAATCATTTCCTAGATGAAAGAGAAACCAAGTGTGAAATGGAAGGTAGATGTTTTCAAAACCACTTTATTTAAGGAGGGGGTCTATAATCAACACCCACTGCTTTTCATAATGAAAAGCATGAGGGCTGGGGATCATCCTACCTAGTGCCATGTTCCACGTTTTCTGGGGACCACAGAGATAGATGAGTGAAGCTTGGTGGGTTGGACTCCCTGCTCCCCACATTGCAGGTGAGAAGAGAGGTGACCTGATGGGCACATGGGCTGGTAGCATGCACCCACCAGGGTCTAAGTTAAGCCTGTCTACTATGCTCTTAAAAATCTATAGTAATTCACTCACCTGTACATTTGACACTTGACTTATTGCATGAGCACTGTGCTTCGAGATTTACATGTTTATAAGGTGAGAGAATCTAATCCTGCCAGCCTTCATTTTTCAAGCCTCTGTAAAGAACATGTTTAAATGTATCTTATACTGCAAAACAATCACTTTAAGATGATTTTGAAAGTAGATTTTCTTGAGCCATAAAAGAAAAGCATTTTTTAAAATCCCTTTCAGTCCTGGGGACAAATCCCAGAGCCTCCTGTATTCCAAATAAACACCCTACTGCTGACCTGCACCCCAAGTACTCCAGGACAATGTAAGAGTGTTGATTCACCAAAATAATCTCCCTTGTGAATGAAGGTAGTCATCAAATGCTAGTATAACAGTTTACAAAATCAAGAATTACTTAAGAATAAAGTTATTTAAATCTGCCTGCCTTGCTGACAGGAAGCTCTGTTCATAGGTGGAGTTCAGCTCTCACTATCGGCATGGGTAAAAAGAAGGCAGGGTCCTAGAAGGAAGCTGATATGGTTTGCCCGCCACATGAACTTTATTAGGAGAGTGGCAACATCAAGTCCACAAGGAGCCATGTGTAGCCCTGAAGGAGAGAGACTGAGCCCTCGGGTCCAAAGAGCAGCTTGATAGGCGGCAGAACTGTCATGGGTAGCCTAAGGGAGATACTGAAGGGAGACACATGCAGTCCCAGAATATTGGAAGAGTTACAGTACCATGGCTGGAGGTGGCCATAATGGGGCCGTGAAGGGAGAGGCAGGTGACTCGGATCCTTCCCTTCAGTTCTATGACACAGGGAGTTTCTCCATCTTACAGATTTCCAGGGATTGAGGGTGGGGGTAAGTTCTGCATGGAAGTCACAGGGCAGGAAGGTGATGAGAACAGGGGAGAGAATGGGCTAGGCAGTTTAGGGTAAATGACTATGCAAGTGCAGTTTTTCTTTGACTAAAAGTGACAGATGTCCTCAGCCCCATGGATACCCTTGCCCTTGCTACAGGCAGGAGAGGCTAGTGGTGCTTAAGACAAATATCTTCGCTTCTGCCTTGGCTAGAGACCTGGGATCTCAGAACAGCCTGAGTTTTCTGTATCTTTCCACCTAAATGGATATCTTTCCTGAAATCCCCATGGGAGGGTGTGGCAGAAACCCACAGACATTGGACAGCTGAACTGGGAACTTGACTGACGGGCTCATCTCCCCTCCCATGTCCCCATCCAGTAAAGCCTTAATGACTCCAAGCCATTGACCTTCAATAGTATCCCACTCTCTGGGGATCTCTCCTGTCATCTTTCTTAAGCTCCCAACAATAAAATGCTTCCTAAAACCCATCTTCTATGAACGTCATCCTTCCAATTGGAAAGGCCAGAACCCGGAGGCTACTGACTCACTCCAAGTTCTGTGTGAACATGAATGTCTGGCACCCTAACTTCTGAGTGAAAAGCCCACCTAAGGCCTGAGAAAGGCTCTGTTGCTCTCCAAAACACCCCCAAATTTTCATGTCTCAAAGGCGCCAGAGAAGAGGAGAGTATAATTCAAGTTGTCTTGAGCTTTTGCACAGCTGCACGGGGCTGGAGAAGGCAAGGCCACAGCTTTCGTGGCTCCCCCGCTCTCAGGAAAAAGACTGTGAGGGCTATGTGAGGGCTAGAGAGGCAGAGCTGCTAGGTCTGCCACGTAATAGTAAATTTGAATTCTGCGACTTGGAGAATTTTCCTCTATACTGCTTTTTCAGATGAACAAAAATCTTTGACATGGTTCATAATCTTATTAACCAGACCATGTCAGGTGTTATCGAGCATCTGGTGAGTGAAAAAAAAAATCCTCAGCATTTAAGGGGCTGTCCTCAGAGTGGCAGCGGTGGGTCTGGGGGTGATCTGAGCTTTGGCTTCTCACAATGGTGCCCATGCTACCCCCATGATGTCAGCACTCCTCTCTCTGCCCACCTTTCTGCTTACCTGACCCCCTGTTTCTTCCGTGATGCGGATATTTATCCCATAGTCTAGAAAAGATTTCGACTCGGTAACTAGGCCAAGATCCATTGGAAACTCGGAATAGAAACATTTAAAAATTTATTTTGTGTGTGGATTTTTGGAATGCGCAGTGTGCCTGGGAAAAGTGATTTACTGTGTACATAAATCAGAACTTCAGCCTGAGTTCGGTACTGATTCTTATATTATCTCTGTGAAATCTGTTCTATTTCCATTCTCTCCATAACGACAGCTCTAAAAACAGCAAAGCCATTTTCTACCACATAATTATTGCTTCAAAGCCTTTCTGAAGACCATGAAAATGCTTAATTGTTCATTTGCTTGTAGGGGGCACTCAACAAACACCAGTGAACATGAGTAATTCTCTTTGAAGGGGTTGCCTTTTGATTTAATTTTTTTTTTTTTTTTGAGACGGGATCTTACCAAGAAGTTCAGGCTAGCATGGGACTCATTATGTAGCTCAGGTTGGCCTCAAACTCTCAGTCCTCCTGCCTCAGCTTCTTGGATGCCAGGGTGACAGGACTACACTGCTCAGGCCTAGCTTCCAAGTGTTGCATTTCAGTGTAGTGATTGCGAATCTCATTCCTTCCCTACGTTTTTAATTAGCTCTATTCTCACTTGTAGGTAGAGGATGAGCAGCAATCTATGACGTCACTAAGGCAGAGGAGCACACGACACAGGACATGTTGACATGCATAGTTCCGCCTACTTCAGGTCACAGACCTGGGCTGTTTCCCTGCTCTCCACAAAGCTGTGATGAGGATAGAGTGCCATGTTCCACTGGACATCTCTCATCAAGGCCCAAGGCTTATGGTTCAGTGCACTGCAAAAGCCTCTGTTGGGGTCACCAGGTCACAGGAGAAGACAGTGAGTTTAAGGAGTTTTCTGTCCTGACAGCCAGCTCTCAAATAATGACATGGAGACTTCTTATTAATTATGCAAGCTCAGCCTATAGCTTAGGCTTGTTCCTGACTAGCTCTTGTAACTTAAACGAACTCATTTATATTCATCTATGTTCTATCACATGGTGTTATGTCTCTTCGATCTTGCACCTCCTGCTTCCTCTCCACGTCTCCTGGCTTCTCCTGAGAGCCTAGATTCCTCCTCCTCTCCCTTTCTCCCACTGGAAATCCTGCCTATACCTCCTGCCTAGCTATTGGCCACTGAGCTTTTTATTACACCAATCCCAGCAAATACATCTTCGCACAGTGTACCAATATCCCACAACAAGTGAGTTTCCACTGCTTCTGTAGAACCCATCATGTTCTCTGGAACACGTTACTCATTGTTATTACTTCTTTTGAAGACCTCAACAACAGACTCAGAGAAATGAACAAGTCCAAGACCTCACCAAGGTAAGCAATGGAAAGAAACTTGAATCAGTTTATTCCTCATAGACTCCAGAAGGAAATATTTCCTCCTAAAGTGCGAACCACAGCACAGAATGTACCCCACGACAGAAATCCTTCAGCTTGTCATTTGGCAGTGTGTGGGTCCATGGGTCCTGGCTCACATCAGCACTGAACAAAGAGGCCTGTCGTGAGCACCCTGCCTCCTGCCTTCTGAGTTCTTGATCCTTCTCGGCACATCCCCTACCTGACTTTCAGCTCCTGACATCATCTAATATGGACAAAGTACGCTCCTTTTCTTCTTAGGACTGTATTTTAAATTCTTTTGATATGGCCACAGCAGTTTGAATCTGAGGCTATCCGAGACACCTCGTTTTTTGACACCGGGATGTTTTACAGCTTCTCTCCCCAGCCTTCACCTGGAGTGTGGCAAACTTTTACTGCTCACTGTGTTTTATGGGTTTCTCTGGGCCATGGATATTCATTGTGTTATATAAATAATAATTGTGCAGTAAACTAGTGGGCAGTGGTGTTTGGTCGAGGCGGTAAATCTTCAAAGGGTGGATGTGGTTTTCCGTAAGAATTGAAGGAAACTGTGACAGTGAATCCTCCAAGCTGAAGTCAATGAGGGAATTTACACTAAGCACTAACTGGCTTTGTAGTGATGAATCACAGTTATGGATCGGCTCCCGAGCAGCAGTGCCTGGGCTCTGCAATGCAGACCCACTGCAGGGGTCATTGCATATTCCACCCAAGCTTCACTCCAGCCTCCTGAATACTGGCGTTCGGATGCAAGTACTGCCCAAATGTCAGTACTTACAATCCTGTCTGCTGCAGAAACCTTAATGAAAGTTTTACCTGATTGTTTTAAAGAACGTTTGATAATTTATAGAGTTCATCCTGAGAAAAAGGCAAGGTTATCTCTGAAAGGGATGCTTCAGAATGCTATTGTGAATGTCGTTATGTGATGCATGATCATTTCAGTGAGTAAACTTTACCTGTGGGTGAAGGTGTATGCCAGCTCCCTTCTAGGAAAAACACTTAAGCACACCTGTAGGTAGGTGAAAAAGGGCATTTTCTTTACCTGCTGTTGACCTGATGGTTGAGGTCATGTTGGAGGGTGTCATCACGGGAATACATTCATCGTCTTGGGAGTAACCAGCTTGGATGGCTCGAAGGTAACTGTGGCTCCTTGTTCGGAAACATCCAGGAAGGTCAAGGGCATCCATGGCCTGAGATTCAACTTCACTGAAGACAGATTCACACACTGACTCGAACTGCCCATTGACCTCTGCTTCACTCATCTAGAAGAGCAACAGCATACACGTGACGCCAGGTTCCATCAGGGTGGTCGCAACCATGTCACACAAGGACCAGGGACAGAATGCACGCACAGTACTCGGTGACAGCTTTCTAGTTTCGGCGCAGCTAGTTTGAAATCCGCCCTGGGAATCCGTCAAGCTTGGGGGATGGCTTCTTAGGTTCTTTCTTACGAAACAGGAAGGTACCTAACTAGCTACAGATGGATGGAAGTTCTGTGGACTCACCAGGCTGACAGCCATCACACAGACTAGGAGACAGGGCTGGCGAGAGCCTCCCCACACACCGGGTACACAGCCAGGGTCCACGCTGTCGGGCCTTCCTCCTTCCCCAGTGACCCTTCTGGCTTTCCCCAGCTACCTACCGCTCAGGCTGACTCTGGGGCGGAGGCTGGAGAAGTAAGCACACACATTCGAGCGCATCAGCTACTTTTAGTTCATTTTCAGGACGTGAGAGTCAGCTGCTGCTCATTGTCATGGAAACGAATCCCAAATTTGGCAGAGGCAACTCCTGCCCTCATCACCATTACAGCATCATGAGCGAAGTCAGGGCGGGGAAGACATGGCTGCCTGGGAGGAGTGCGGGATGCGTGAAACATGGTATGTGGACTTGAATCTCAGGCGTATTTCCCCCTCTATTAGTTTGAGACTTGCAAGTACAGCAGATAAAAGCAATAAATTTTCAGCTTGTGTCTTCAGTTGCATATATCGGTTTACCCTGGGAACTTAACTTTCCCAAATACTCTAGAAGAAGCAACGTGTTGGGCCTGTCAGCCCTGGTGAGACCACAGGCTAAACTGACATGGGCTGGGCCATCGGCTCAGCCGCAGGGACTCTATTTAGGGTGGGCAGCCCAAGAAGACATGTTTTTCTTGAAGTTCATATACACACATCATACACTGTTCACGGGCTGAAACTAGAGATTTTTAAACTGGAAATTCAGTCAAGGGAGCTACAGAAACCAGGCTGAAGGGTTAGGTGGGAGAGGCATGATCGAAGCTTAAATGGGGTTAGTGAACTCAGGGTTCTGTCCGGTGCTGGAGACGAGAGGCTGGGAGCTCAGTCCGTGTTCATCCCGGGGAGTTCTCCCCACTCACTGATTTGGTTTTGGCAAATGACTTCTGAGAAGGTAGACAGAATCTGGAGTTCCCTGGATAATGGGCTTCTGGGCATGCTTGTGGGGGACTACCTTAACTGTGTTTATTGAGTCGGGAAGACTCACCCACTGTGGGTGGCACCATTCCCTGGTTTGGATCCTGAAGTGCATTAACGGAGAAAGGAGCTGAGCGGCAGCAAGTATTCACTGCTCTCAGTGCCTGCTTGTGGACACCATGTGACCAGCTGCTTAAAGCCCTGCTGCCTCGACTCCTCTACAGCAATGGGCTGCACCTTGAAGCCGGAACCAGAACAAACCCTGTCCCCTTGAAGCTGCTTCTGTCAGTGTGTTTCGTCATGGCAACAGGAAAAGAAACCAAGACACAGTCACCCTCCAAGTTCTCACGCACTACGGGTCTCTCTCCTCTCTCAGGCGTGTCCTTCTATAGTGACACACATGTACAGATGGGACATTGGTCAGTGGCATGATGGGGATCTCTGGGGATGCAGCCAGCCAGAGTTCAGGACACAGAATGGCACCCCTGATTGCTATCTGTTCCCCTACCTCTCTAGGTTCCTCTTTCTGTCCCGTCTCTCACACCATGAGCTTAGTGAGGACCTACATTCTGAGATCTGGTGTTTAATCTCAGTGCCTCATGGACACAGGCAGACCCATTTGTCTGTCTGGAGTCTTAGACGGCCATTCTCCATCTTGGCCCTCACCTTTTCCGCTACATCTTTCCAGCTGCCATGACAGAGTCTGTCTCAGTGAAGCATGTCTCAGAATCATGTCACTGCACACAAGTGTCTATAGCTACAGTGATCAGGCTTAGAACAGATTCTTAAGTGCGGCTTTCCAAGATCCAGACATGGCCCACCCCCAAGCAGACTTCCTAGTCTACTCTAACTGAGCCACAGGCTAAGGCCATGAAAATATTCTCCTCTAAGCTCCTCCTCTCTCCCTCGTTCAGGGTTTGAACAAGTCTCCCCTCTCTGTCGTGACCATCGCTACTTCAAATGCCTCACTAGATAGTTGTAGACCGGTTGGAATGTCACTCCACCAGATCCAGGTCCACTGGGTTAGGATTCCCATGCGTTCCCCATTCCAGTGGGACGTCTTTGCCCCCAAGGCCAGGAAACTCTGGCTCCTCTCTATTCAATGTCACGTCCAAACCAGATTTCATCCTGTCTTCCCCCTCCCTTCCCCCTCCCCCTGTCTTCCAGTGTTACCCCCTCCACAAACATACACAAACAGATGAGAACTAAGATTTTTTTCCCTTTCTTGTTCTTTCTGGTCCACTACAGCTGGTCCACCACAGCTTCTCAATACTTGGATCATGCTGGCAGATAGAGTAAAGGAAGATACTACTTTAAAAGTCTGTCTGTCAAAGACTCAGGGACAGGTTGGGGGTGATTCATGAAACCAGTTGTAAGAAGGATGGAATGGATCAGAGCATGGCTGACCATCAAGGTGCATGATATCGGTTAGAGACAGACCTCTCAGAGGGGACAGGCTACAGCATGCCACCATGAAAACTTCAGATCACAGCAAATCAACACCCAGAACACATGGCTGCAACATGGATAAATCTGGAGGACAATGGGCTTAGCAAAATAAGCCAGTCCCAGAAGGATCCCTGCTGAGTAGTTACACTAACGCCAGGTTTCTAAAAATAATACAAAAAGTAGAATAGGGGTGGTCATGGGCTGGGGAAAGGAGATAGGGCTTCAGTTTGGGATGATGAGAGCATTCTGGGGCTGAATGATGGTGATGGTCTGTGTACACCGGAACACGGTTGAAATGAGACACTTCAAATTATGTGGCTATATTATGTAACAACATTCCCTCCTGGAGAACCCAGGGAAGCTCTTAAGACTCAAGCAACAAACAACTAACAAGTCTCAGCAAGTTCCTGAAACTTAAAAGATTTACAAGACTACTTAGCAAGGTTATATAAGTGGTAAGACTTCTCAGGAGAAGAGACTTTCCAACCTATCAAACTGACTGCAAATTGTGCAGGGATCTCCAGGGAGGCAGCATTCCTGGGTCGTTACCCATGCTGAGACAAACATTTTAAAGATGGGGTTGTCTTTCAGCTACCCATGCTCTGGTAAGTAACTCAGATTAACTCATTTGTTCTCCAAATTGGATTTTGGCAGAATTGAAGGGGCGTACCCTTGAGTGTGGAGGAGAGTTTCTCATCTCAGGTGAGTAACCCAGTAGTCAGTGGTTCTAGGTCTCTGCCTCACAAATTGAAAAATAAATTTCATGGAGAAATGACGGGTGGGTGAGACTGAAAGAGGACTTTTTTTATTATTATAGAAAGAAAGTTTAAAGGAGACAAATTAAAGATTTATGGTTGAATTCATGATTCTTCTGCCTTAGTCCCTGAGTGCTGGAGTTACAGGCATGTACCATGACTGGCTTCATAGCACTACTAAAAATTGTATTTGGAAAGCTGGGCTGCAGTGGCACATGCCTTGAATCCCAGCACTCGGGAGGCAGAGCCAGATGGATCTCTGTGAGTTCGAGGTCAGCCTGGTCTACAGAGTGAGATCCAGGACAGGAACCAAATAATTACACAGAGAAACCCTGTCTCAAAAAAAAAAAAAAAAAAAAACCAAACCAAAAATGTGGCTGGGGAGATGGCTCAGCAGTTAAAAACACTGATTGTTCTTCTGGTGGATTTGGGTTCAATTACCAGCACCCACATGGCAGCTCACAACTGTCTGTAATTCCAGGATCCAACACCTTCACACAGGTATACATACAGGCCAATGCCAATAAAATAAAAAACTGTATTTGGAAAACGAATTAACTGTAAGGGAAAGTGTTGTAAGCCGGGCGGTGGTGTTGCACGCCTTTAATCCCAGCACTCGGGAGGCAGAGCCAGGAGGATCTCTGTGAGTTCGAGGCCAGCCTGGTCTACAGAGCAAGATCAGGAAAGGCACAAAGCTACACAGAGAAGCCCTGTCTCAAAAATCCAAAAAAAAAAAAAAAAAAAAAAAGATGAAAGTCTACCTCAGCAATCTTTATCCTGGGATGGGAGCTGTTACAGTGTATACCGACTTCACTTGACCTGTGGGTACCTTCCAAAGCCATATTTGACCCTTCTGTGTGGAAATGGGGAGCTTTGCTGGTGAGTCGGGCCACCACAGTAGCCTAATTCTTAGGATCTGAGCGTGTTCTAATAGAATAGCAGGAGTGGTAGTTACGGACACAGGGGTCCTCTTCCAGGTGGTAACTGAGGACATGTAGAACATGGGATTTTGAGAGCTAAGCCCCCACGGTCCTGACTAGCAGAGCAGGGGCAGTTCTTCTTCCCATGTTAGTTTCCCATGGCAACATGACCTAGTTTCTAAGAGGAAACCATCGCTAAGGTAGGCTAAAGTGTTAAAATCCTCAAATTAAGCACAAGGGCAAGACGCCCACCCCCCACCCCCCAACAGCGTTAAAGGAAAACCACCTGAGTGTAACTTTCTGAAGAGAAGGGGATGTAGGAAAAGACTCATTACCCCGGCTAGTCAGCACTGTCCATAGCCAGGGGGATGGATGTCTTAGTGCCTGGGTTACCTGCCAGGGCGATTCATCATAGTCATAGCAACAACAAACATGGCTGGTATCGAATGCGTACTGTTTGCAGGACTCTCCCCTCATCAATAAGTCCATTGACTTCCTTGTTCTGCCAACTGCAAAGAAGAGGGACCCCGAGCCCAGGCTTCTCTGCTCCTTGGCAAGAGAATCGTGGGTAAAGCTAATGGTAACTATAAACTCTGCCATTTTTCTGTAAAATTTTAAAATTATTGTGAGAATTATTAGTTTTCGAGATGAAGCCTTGCTGGTGGGCTGGAATCTCTGCTCCTCCTACCCCAGCTTCTTGTGCACTGAGGTTATTGGCATTTAACTTCTCTTTTTAATAGCAGTTCCCACGAGTAAGCAGGTGTTTAATCAAAGCTTGGAAATTCAGTTCTTGTTTGCTGCACATCACAGGACACATGACACCAGCATTTCCGGCTAGTTATTAGTGTGTGCTGTTTGGTCCGTTTACCCAAGTGAAAAACCTCGTGCTTCTCCCTCTGCTGGGTCCAACCCCTATGACTCCATGGTGACCCTGGATCCTGCTTTGAGACTAGGTATCTGGTGAGAGATAAGACCTGTCCCAGGAGCAAGTGGGACCCAGTTCCTCTGTCTGCAGTGCTGGGCTGTTAGAAAACCAAGGCCTTGCCTGTGCCAGGAAGATGCCCTCTGTGGTGTCGCACTGCAACCTGTGACAATCACTAGATTGGTGGCTCTGTTAGGAAGGTGTAGCATAAGCCAATGAGGCCATTTTGTTGGAAGAGGAAGAAAGTCCACTCTAAACCAAGAGAAACGGTTGCATGTTCTTTGCAGGAAGAGTGCTGCCCATGGGTGCCTGGGCACTGTCTCCCCATGGAAGCCTCTTACTCAGCACAGCCCCGAGACTGCATCCTACATAGAAAAGCACAGAAGAGGCCCCACCTGGCTCACACAGCTGGCCTGGCTCAGGGTGCTCACGGCCCGCATGTAGCTCTGGTTTCTGGACCGGAACTTCGGGGAGTTGTAGTTGACTGATGGGTCCAGGCTGTGACCAACAGGCACCTCACTGGCAGCTTGCAGGTAGCTCTGGCTACAAAGACAGAGAAAAGAGAAATGTGGTCTGTGAGCATCCGGGGAAGGGTGGGCGGAGTTGGCTGCCAGTAGACACCTTAACTCCACACTGTGGCTGGTGACGCTTCCAGCTGAACATCTTTGTATGGATGACTTTGCTTTATGCAAATGTTATGGGCTTTGCATCGACAAATGTGAATTCCATCAAAAGTTACAGGGCAGGTAATTTAGCAAATTGCTTTGCAACCAATTTTTTTTTTTTTTTTTTTTTTTTTGGTTTTTCGAGACAGGGTTTCTCTGTGTAGCTTTGCGCCTTTCCTGGAACTCACTTGGTAGCCCAGGCTGGCCTCGAACTCACAGAGATCCGCCTGGCTCTGCCTCCCGAGTGCTGGGATTAAAGGCGTGCGCCACCACCGCCCGGCAATTTTTTTTTTTTTTTTTTATGGCTGGGCCATGAGGTTAAGACCAGCATCCGTTAAAGAGGAAAGAAAACAACAACAAAACAAAATGGAAGCCCTCATAACTCAGACAGCAAAATAGCAAACTCAGTGTCTAGATTTAAGCCAGATTCCTCCAGAGCCTCGTAACAATCTTGCTAGCTTACTGGCAACTTTACATACTTGGAATAAATAAAGGCACCACTTTATTTTTTTTTAAAGATATGCATTTACTTTTGTTTCTGTGTGTGGATGCCTACCTGTGTGGGAATATGAGCACCCGAGTGAAGGTGCCCAGAGAGGTCAGAAGAGAATACTGAATTCCCAGGAGCTGTAGTGACTGGTGATTGTGAGTCACCCAACATGGTTTCTGCAAACCGAACACCGCAGGAACAATAATGCTCTTAAATGCTGAGCCATCTCTCCAGCCCCTCAGTTACTTCTAAAGTGAGCAGATTATGCAATGCTAGCAAAGAGGTACAGCAGGGAGTTTGGACCAATGTGTTCTCATGATAACCATTTTCCCCCCAAGCTTCTTTAAAAGCAACACTTCCCAGTTTTCCAACTTGATGTTTTGTAAAACATTCAAGCGTGGGAAAACACCGAGGATGTTCAGCAGCTAGGCCTGCTTAGCTTAAGTTTCTGGAAAATTTGGTACCTTCCCTTTCAAATTCTTTCGTCAAATATTCCACTGTGCCATGAAAATTCATGGAGTAGTGTGGGAAGACATTATCAATCACTTCCCCCCTGATTTCGAGCACGATGGAGCATTTGGTTTGCCGGTGCAGCTCATATGTAGAAATACTTACAAATACTAAACAGATTCTGACCCCACGCCTGGGCAATAAACTAAATACTTTCTTTCTACAGTGGCTCTTTATATAGCTTATTTTATTATTTATTTCTTTGTAAGTGGGGCACCAGGTGCTAATGAGAAGGCTGAGCCAGAAGGGCTGGCCAAGCCCAAAAGCCTGAGTTTGATCCCGAGACCCGTGTGGTAGAAGGAGAGAAACTGTTCCTACAATTGTCCTCTGACCTCCACATGTACCACGCATTCTCTCCCACAAATAATAACAAATAACAGAGAAAACATGATTTTATAAAATCAACTTGGCAGTACTTACTAATTGTAGACTTAAAGTAATTCCGTTAAAAGTAATTTCTTCTTCGTGTCTCTTTCTTCTGAAGTTTCTTTTGGACCTCTCATTTCTTGCTTGTATGTCTACCAAATGCTCCTGGTGTCTTTTCCACTAGATTTCCCTACTGATTGATATCACCATTCATACCATCCAACCATACCATCACTATCCATTCCATCCAACCATACCATCACCATCCAAACCATCCATACTGTCCAACCATACCATCACCATCCACACCATCCATACCATTCAACCATACCATCACCATCCAAACCATCCATAATGTCCAACCATACCATCACCATCCACACCATCCATACCATCCAACCATACCATCACCATCCACACCATCCATACTATCCAACCATACCATTACCATCCACACTATCCATACCATCTAACCATACCATCACCATCCATACTACCAAACAACCAGGTTGTTTTCAAGTCTGAGAACCATAAGAAGAACCAATGTCCTCTGGACCTTGGTACCCACTGCTCCTATCCAGTGTCTGGCACCCCGAATGAGTGTCAGCCTCACAGCACGGCCAGATCCCTGCTGGTGTCCTACACTAGCATCTAAGAACACAGCATTCAGGATGCTGCAATGCTGTGTTTCAGATAAAGTTCTAAGTTTTTCCAAAGTTCAGTGAGCACCTAAAGAGAAGTAGCCACTGAAAAACACTTAATAAATAAATGTACAATGTTTACCATTTGCTACTGACTATCACAACACAATCTCTACAGGTTTTTGGGTTTTTTTTTAGTTTTTTTTAGACAAGGTTTCTTTGTGTAGTTTTGGTGCCTGTCCTGGATCTCACTCTGTAGACCAGGCTGACCTAGAATTTACAGAGATCCGCCTGGCTCTCCTGGGATTAAAAGCATGCACCACCACCACCCGGCCTCTGTAGGCATTTAATTAAGCTATTAAGGTAGGTCTAGAGACCACATTTCAGGAGTCTATGTATGTTCACTGGAGAGTAAATGGTAAAACTAGACTCTGAGCCTGTTCAGACTGGATGCAAAAGCTCACCTTTTAACTCCAAAATGAAAGCTGCTGAGTAAGAGCCGGAGCACTGGTGTCCCATCCTGTCACCACATCTAGCCCTCCCTCTGCACCTGCAGGGAACTGGTCCCAGGACCCCAGGTTACCAAACTCCAAGGATGCTCATACATATTTCCTTGTCCATTCACTAATCATGTCCGATGACTTACATGCTGACATCATAGAAGTGGCCTGGCATCTGCATATAACTTACTCACATCTTTCTATACACTTTAATCATCATCAGGTGAGTAACGTGCCTAACACAGCGTAAATGCTAGGTGGCTGTCGGGCATCATTTAGTAATGCGGAGAAGTCTCTTTATGTTCGGCACAGAGGCCATGACACAGGTGGCCATTCATGCTGGAGTGTCAAGGGGCCACAGCAGGATGTGTCTGCTGGTCGTTTTCCTCTCTCAGTTCCAGCAAACCACTTCCCTTGTGCTAACATTCAATTTTGCTTTTGGAACTTTCTGGAATTTTATTTTTTTTTTTAAATATTTCTATCTGTGGTTGGTTGAATCCATGAATTGGAACCCAGGTAGAGAATGCTGATTATATTTTTAAGACAGCGATAAAGCCCCCTTTAATCCCACTAGGGTTAACAGTGATTTTGAAAGTATTATAATGGTTTACCTTTGTATAATACTGTGCCTCAGATGCCACCATCGGGGAGCTGGGTACAGTGGCTCACAGTCTGTACCTCAGCACATTGGAGGCTGAGGCTGGAGGGTAATTATAAGTTTGGGACCAGCCTGGGCAAGAGCCTATTTCATAAAACTAAAACCAACAAAACCCCAAATAAACAAACAGACATCACATTCCTGAGGACTCAACACCAAGAGCCCACTGTGGGAGGCACGGTGAAGGCTGAGTGTGCACAGGGGAGGGTCATTTGCACATCATGGAGGTGGCAAGTCTCATGCTCTTTCTGGTAAGGTCTTGCCATTGCTCATGCATGGGAGACTGTCTTGGAATCCCTCTGACACTCTGAAGTGGACTTTCTCCCCCTTGGCCTATTCAGAGTGGGAATTTCTACTTTGTCATCTTGGTTGACAGAGCCTTGGAAAACAACATCCTACATGGACGGGTGGTAGCTCTGGAAACTGCAGAAGGAGACCGTTTTCTAGAATAATGTGGGATATTTTTGTTCTAGTTTTTGCCTTTCAAATGTTGCCCACATGAGATCATCATCTATGCATAAGTGAGACAGGAACCTCATTTTGGAAAACTTCAAGTAATCATCTGAAAGAAAATAATGGGCTTTCTAGCATTTTACCATTTTCCCCCATTTGCAAAATTGTTCCAGGTTATTTACTGGATTGTAGGACCACAGACTTCAACAATTATTTTAGATCTTTGTAAAAATGAGTTTCCATAACAAAATATCTGCATGTGCAAGCCTTTGAATATGGCTATTTAGACCCGGGTTGATATCCTTGAAATAAAGACAAAAGAAAACACCCTCTTCGAGTCACCTTAGAAAACAGTCAGGGGTTGTACTAAGGAGAAATATAAGAAAACAAACTTTCTGCCCTCAGTGTATTCATTGCAGACGCAGAGAACACCTTTTCACGTTTATAAATGGAACGGGACAGGAATAGCACCCACTTACAAACAGCCACGCTTCCTCTGCTGCCTCAAATGGAACACATAAACAGCATTAGGTGTGAGTGGGATTCCTCCCAGAAAGCAGAAATTCCTCTGTCTCTTAGCACACATTTTAGAGAAACCCTAGTCAGTGCCGGTCGGTCCTCAGGCCATGGCATTTTCCTATTATCCAGGTGCTTGCCGCACAGGTGGTGGTTGGTCCTGGCTCATGGTCCCTCTGTGAGGACAACCTGCCTGCTGCCACTCCACACGTGACCTCAGGTGAACTCTTCCATCACAGTGCTCAGGGAATTGTTCCACTGTTTTTGCTACCCTTGTGGAGCTTGGGGTGCAGAGTTCACAGAGGGCCTGCTCATTTGATCATTGATCAAAATCAAATGCCTTGAGATGTATGGTTTTTTTTTTCCCTCAAAAGATACACCCCTCCACTCTGGTGATGGCTGCTCTTTGAAAATTGGGGCTTGCAGCACAGGATGAGGGCTCAGCCTGCAAATCTGGAGTGCAGACCAGCTGACACTGGTGCATGTGTGTGTACCTTCCCAATACAGAGAACTCAGGGACTCAGGCCATGTGCTCCATCCACACTCACTGCTGGGACATCTTCAACAAGACTTGCAATAAGAGCATCCTGGGCCTGGGGGTTCCAGCTATGACCAAGGACACTGTGACAGGAGGCCTCCCTGGAGTGCCAGCAGTGGCTATGGGGTACAAATCCTTTGCAGAGCCATCTATGGAAGCTTCGGAGGCAGAGCTTGGAACTAAGGTTTGTGTCTTAGGTGGAGCCT